TGGTCGCCCTGAGGCGGCCCCGAAGTTCTTCCGTACTTTTTGCTGCCACTCGAGCAGCTGCGTGATCTTAGGCAAGACAGGGACTCGGACGGTGTCTGGCTCCTTGATAGGAGTTGTAGTATGGACCGAAACCGCAGACAGTGGTTGTGAGGGTATCGGTGCACCGTCAGTAGTTGGTTCTGTGCGCACAGGAGACACATGGCGTGTCTGTGCAGAAGCTGCCGCGGAGGCTGCTCCTGGTGACGTACGTCGTTGTTGTCCTGCAGAAGCTTGTGGTGCTTCGGCGGACGCTGCCGTCGGCCTGTGCAGGTCGGTTGCAGGTCGAAGTTGGAGATGGGTGTCGTTGGTGTGGTCGAGCAGCTGATTCGTCCAGCTCGTCATGTCTTCGTGTATGTGTGCCACCTTTTGGCGTGTATACTCATCAGTATCACGAAAACGTTGTGAATGCCGATCAAGTCGTTGCTCGCATGCTCGGAGACGGGCGCTTTGTGCCTCCAGCTCGCTTTCCAGACGTGCGGGGTGACCCTCAACACGTACCTTCTCAGTATCTCTTTCACGAATAACCTGGGAGAGCTCCAACTGCGCGTGGTCCGCCGCCTTCTCAACCTCCTGCAACCTGTCCGCGAGGCGGGCGAAATCGTAAACCGTGGGGGGAGAATCCAGCTGGCCAGTCTGGGCTCGTCCGACACGCAACTCTGTCAGGGCGTCCTGCACATCAGGGAAACGCTGCTCGATTTCAGAGATCCGGTTAGCGAGTGGCTGCACGACAGCGTTGGTCGCATCATGCCTTTGAGTGATGACTCTCTCAGTACGCTGCAACATGTCGATCAGGTTCGACGAGTTGGTGTGTGCTTCGTTGCGAAGCGTCGCCGTTGTGTGGTCTAGGTAAGATCGAAGATCATTGATCTGAGACTGAACGTCGCCAAGGTCGGTGGCCTCGGCTGGTGTTGGTCGGTTGCGGAGCTGGTCGTGGGTCTCATCATGTAAAATCCTGACTGCTGAAACGCCTGTGTCGCGTACGAGCACAAGCTGTTGCTCCATCTGCGCAAGATAGTTGCGCAGGTTCTCGACCATCGCCGTTCGTTCACTTGAGTGTGACACGTCACGATCAACCTGGTACTGCAGTTCACCTATGATGCGTCGATCTTCGGCGATCCTGGAATCAATGATCCCTAAGGCGCCGTCCAGATCGTGGCGTATGGCTGCAGTATCGGCGGCGTTCGTCTGAACGCTCTGCAGTAGTCCAGAGTATTGCCTGGACACGAAGGTTTCAACCTGGTCTCTGAGCTCAGCAATTTCACCTGCGGCGGACGTTTCCGCCAGCTGGTCGTCTGAGATGGAGAGGTGGGGAGCGTCAGCTTCCCTGTGTCCCCTGTCACGGGGAGTGCATGGCCTCTGAGAGGCAGTACGCGGGCTCGACCTACTCTCGCCGTATGGGCCTGGGGCTCCACGGCGGTTGCGCGCGGACGAGCTGCGACTCGGACCATGTGTGTGGTGTCTCGTCCGATGATACCTTGGGGTACTGCGTCTGCGGCTGTGCCGCCACTAGTCTACTGAGTTCCTCGAAGGTGGCAACGTGCTCCGCCACGGGGACGGTCGCAGGGCTGGGGGTGCCAGCACCTGAGGTCCATCGGCGGTTAGCGCGAAAGCGCCCTGGAGTGTCATGACCAGCGAGGCTTTCGCCTGGCGCGGTTGGGATTGCTCCCGACGGGGAAGGGGATGGAGGATCGAAGGTAGGCGTGTGGAACTCCTTCCTTCCTGTTCCTACTCCTTCTCCTGTCCCCCCGCGGGCGGCGCTGCGGTGAAGCTCAGCAGCTAGCCGCGCCTCGGGTCCGTCGGAGCTGGGGGGGGGGTATCTGGAACACCAACACAGTCCGCACTAAGGCTCTCCAGCTCGTCACCGAGCCGTCGCGCCGTCGGAGAGCTCGGACGCGAAGCCCCGGTGGACCCCTTTGCGGCGCATGCGCCGCAGGGGCTCCATCGAGACCGCGTGCGAGGTCGCAACGTGCGGTTCGGTGAAAGGTGAGCTTTAAAGGGCTGATAACCTGTGTATGGGGTTGAAGTACAAGGGTACAGAACCCCTGATCCGCTGGTAGAGGGAAGGAGGGATAGATGGATGTCTTTCCCTCCTGCACGATCAAAGGTCTGATCGATCTGTCCCAATACCTGAGCCCAAACGGCCAGGCGAAGGAGAGGTAAGGATAAGGAGTGTATATGAGGGTATCACACGGGTTCTATTCACAGCTCTCGCGGGCCGCTGGGATTGGGGAGCCTCCTCCTCCTCCTCCGCCTCCTCCTCCCGATTTTAGAGTTGAAGATTTTCAGCGCCCCCGCGGCGCAAACTTTAGGCCTCCTGAGAAACCGAGCCGTCTGGAGCCCAGCGAGACCCGCTACGTGCTTCATCTTCTCAGTGGACAGAGGCGGCGTGAGGATTTCCAGGACTGTTTCGAAGCATGTCAGAAGTTAGGCCTCGATGTAGGCCCTGTAGTTGTACTTTCCATTGATATCGTCAATGACCCAGTGAACGGCGATCTTAGATCGCCAAAAGCAGGCGAGAAACTGACCATTTTGTTTTTTGAAGCCCGTGCCGTCGGTGTTATAGTTGGACCACCGTGCGAGACATGGTCGGCAGTTCGGTATGTGGAAGTCCCAGAGGGCCCGACAGCGAGGCCACTCCGATCTTTACAGTATCTCTGGGGACGACCTTTGGCCACCGCAAAGGAACGGCGACAGATCGCTACAGCGAATGATCTATACCGAATTGCCCTATATTTCATGTACGTCAGTCTTGCCACAGGTGTCTGTGGAGTGCTGGAGCACCCAGCAGTCCCTTTGAACCCCGAGGCTCCGAGCTCATGGTTTCTGAAGGAAACTATGCACATGCGAGCTCTCAAGGATCGAGGATTTAGTGTCGACCTGGTGTGGCTAGACCTATGTTCCTTCGGTGCGCAGACGACGAAACCGACCCAGCTTCTGACGACAAATCTGCCTAGTCTCGGCCATGAAATCAATCAGATGCCCCGCCGAGGCCGATGTTGCCACAGAGCAGGACATGGCATCCTGCAGGGCAAGAATGAGTATGGCCGCTGGAACACACAGCAGGCCAAACAGTACCCAGCTGAGCTGTGTACTTTCTTAGCTCGGCATTTTGCCAACGCGTGTCGTCAGAAGCTGAGAGAGGGGGTGAGGTCCGCGTTGTGGATACTGCTGTTGTGACCCTCCATCCCTCTCTCGACCCCGAGCTTGCGAGTTTCTTTTGTTCCCTGGTACCTCGACGCCAACGCCATCGGGGAGTACGGACAGGACGAAGTGGCAGGTGACGAGCATGTTCGTGAATCTATTATGCAGTCTGCGGATCATCCCCCCTATGGCCATGGAACAGAACAGGAGGAGGAGGACGAGGAGGAGGGGGACCTCCCCATCCTCCCTTCTCCCCCGTCCTACCTGTGGTAACAAGCGGTGGTGGAAGATTGGCCCATCACAACCGCCCGAAGCGGCCCAGGTGGGCAAACGGAGCAGACTGCCCCAGTGCGGGCCTCCGCAGAGGGAGCCGCTGGCTCCCGGCTGCCAGTGCAGTCCGGCGACTCGCCGTCGCTCGGACGTCCATTCCCCTTGCTTTGTTCGGTTTCGTGCGTGCTGTTTTTCCATAAGCTCCAGGATGCTCCTCGATGGTCCTCGCCTCCGCCGATGGTGCTCCAGGATGCTCCTCGATGGTCCTCCTCGATGGTCCAGGATGCTCCTCGCTGGTCCTCGACGTCCATTCCCCGTGCTTGTTTCGGTTTCGTGCGTGTTGTTTTCCCAGATGGTCCAGGAAGCTCCTCGATGGTCCTCGCCGAGCAGAACAAGCACACGTCCGAGCGATGCCAAGGTCAGGGCAGCCGGGCGAAGGAGAGAGGGAGAGGAGAAGACAAGCAAGCAGACGCCCACGAGCGCGCGCGCGCAGGCGAGAGGCCAGGGCCGACGAGGCAAGGAGCGGGCAGGCGGAACAAAAGCAGAAGAGGAAAAGAGGAAGCAAATGTTGGGCCGACAAGTGGGGGGGGGAGGAAAGGGGCCCCTTCTGGGCCCTACATGGCTCCTTTTGGATCCTTTTGCGGACCCAAGAGGGCCCCTTTCTGCAGCCCTCGCTGCCCACCATTGATCGCCCCCCCATTACGCGTCGCGCCCTCCAACACATGCAAGCAAGACGCACTCCGGCTGATACGAAAAAATCCAGAAACGCTCAGCATTGCGGTCCCCCACACGGGGGCGGCTGTGCGTTGTCAGCAACAGCCTGGGCGCACACGGAAGGCTCTTGTTTCCCCCATTCTCCTCCTCGTCCTCCGCCTCGCCCTGCCTGGCCCAGATGCATATGTTTTTTGTCCAAAATGTTCCTCGACCCCCCCCCCCCCCACTGGAAATTGAGGGCAAATCTGGGCCTTCGGGTTGGGTTGGGGTGGTTTGGTGGGCGGTGACCTGCGCCCCCGGCTCCTCCTGCTGCTGATCATCCCACTGCCCCTGCTCCTCCCATACCTGCCGCGAGGAGGAACGATGCTCAAATGGGGAGACCTGCTCAACGGGGGTGATCGGCGAAACGCTGCCAATGCCGATAGAGCGGCGACAGGCCCTGGAGAGCGAAACGGCACGTTCCTGGGCGGCTTGCGGGGCCCGAGGCCGCCCCGATCGGTGATGAATGGGCGATTGGCGGTCGATGCTGCTCCCCCCTCTGGGCCAGTCCCCCCCGTCGTTGCTGCTGCTGCTGCTGCTGCTGCTGCTGCTGCTGCTGCTGCTGCTCCTGGCGTCCCTGCTGCTGCTTGCTCCTGCGCGCTGTACCCTGCTGCTCTCGTAGAGTGTATGGAAGACGCGTAACTTCGCGCTTCGCGCTGCGCGAAACGCGAACAACTTCGCGCCGGTCCCCAGGGGAGAAGCGGAGGATGAGGACGAGTCGGAGCCGAGCCGCGAAGCGCGAAGACCTTCGCGCTCTCGAGGGCGCCCTTGGTGCATCCTCTGCCCCCCGGCCGGTCCTGGAGCCTCGCAGTGCTGCAGGGCAGCAGCGCCGCCTCCACCCTGTCGGCCTTCTCCTCCACGGCGCCCGCGAGGGCCATCTGGGCCGCGCGCGGGCGGAGGGCCCAAGAGAGAGAAGCAGCGTGCCAGGCGCCCTCGACAGAGGGCAGACAATCCACCCCGAGAAGAACCACCCCGACACGCGAAGCCGTTTCGTGAACGCACCCAAAGAAGGAATCCAACAGGGCAGGGCTGCTTTGTAAACGCCCAGGGCCGGTCCGGGTGGTTCTTCCTCCCTTGGCTCGAGGAGGAGCAGCCACAGCCGGCGCCCAGAATGAGCAGGAGCGCGGCGACGCCCGCCCGAGAGTCACGGCGAGCGGCTGTGCCGCTGTGCTGGCCCTGAGCTTGCTTTCTTACCCGTCTGGCCGCCACTCGCAACGAAGGTGCGCCAGCTCGTGTCGACCGCGAGGTGCGCAAGCCATCGGATGCAACGGGGAGGCGGAGTCGCAATCGAGACGGCCCGCTGTCGTGGCGAATCCACCACTGCACCTGTGCGCCACATCGTATCTATCCTCAGCTTCTCTCGACCCCGCCAGCGCAATCTTCCCTGTTCCCCGCATGTGGAACCAGAACGCAAACTGAGGAGGAGGAGGAGGTGGAGGACGGGAATGATGAGCCGAAGGTGAAGGAGGAGTAGGAAGAAGACGAGGAACAGGACGAGGATGATACCGAGGATGATGAAGGTGAGGGGGCAATCTTTGGATGAGAGCGTTTATTGCAGCAACATCTGTTTGCGCTGGTTTTGCACTGGTCCTTCCCCTCCATCGCATCAACCCTACCCGCATTCTCTCCCTGATCACGTGTAGAATGCTACCATGGCATTGCCGAACCCTTCGCTCCGCTGGTGGCAATGCGCTAGCTAGCGCCTGGGTGCCACGTCTGACTACGCACGAGAGAAAACTGTGGCAGGACCTGCCAGGCAAGGATCACTGGTCATTTAAGGCACGCTTTGTGTAACCGGTCCTCCCGAACACAGCAGGACCAAGGACAGAAGAACATCCTTCAACAACACGAGATCCTCCACCAGCCTAATCTCAAGAACACTCGAGGGTGCCCTCCCCTAGGATGCACAAGAACATTCGACAAGCACGAAAAACACCAGGGTGCCCTCCCCGAACCGAACTCGATCTTATACTCAAGTCTGGCCGTATATCGGAGGGCCCTTCCGCCCTCTTGACGGCATAGGCCGTAGCCCAGCGGCCCCAGACGTGGTACGTAAAAACAGCCCCCCTGTACGGCGGGAGGGCCTTGGTCTGGGTGGGATACTGCAGAGGACTCCAGGGCAAGGGGATCGTAACCATTGCAGGCGCCCCACCCCCCCCCTGCTCCTGAACAGAAAACGTTTTGCTATTCTGGGATTTGCCATCTGGCCAAAGGGTGGGGTGGGGGGGGGGGTCTGGGTCCGGGCCAGTGCTTAGTCGATCTGCTTTTGCCAGTCGCGCCAGCAGACTGGGGGGAAGGGGTCTCCGCCAGTTGCCAAAAGAAAAGCAGGCGCCAACAGCAACCAAGATCTGGTCCATGGAGGGGGGGGAGGGGGGAGGCCAGGGGTCCGCGCCGATCGGCGAGACACTGGATAAAAACGACGACATTCCCCGAGCGCTTCGCACATCTGTCTCAACCCATGGCCCGCAGATGCTGCGCCTCGCTGCTCACGCACGCAGCCTTGGACCTTCCAGGCCTCCCGATCCACACTGACTCGACCCGCCTTGCCACAGCTGCTGGCAGCTGCGCCCCTTGCGCACCCAGGTTATTTTTTCTTGGGCAAGCTGCAGAAGCAATTGCTCGGCACCTGGGTCTGCGACCTCCTCTACTCCTCTACTCGCTTGGTGAGATGGATCCCGAGGCTGCCCTCTCTGTCAGCGACCTCTGCTTCCCGGCGCGACCTTCTCGCAAAAAGCCCCGGATGACCCTGAACGGACAGCTAACCAGATGCGATGCCATCGATCTGCACGGCCAGTGTCTTCTCTGCCGGCTCCACGGCGGATCCAGACAAGCTTCTCCCTGCGCAGGCGGCGCGTACGACAACCTCTGAAACGCCCGACGCGCGCTCTGCAACTATGGCCAATGGTGCAGGCTCGTCTTGCCGTTCGAATTGCTTCCCTCTCGCCGTTCGGATTGCTTCCCTCATCCTCCTTTCCAACTCCTGCTCATCCTGGCTCGTGGCAGAGGAGCGCCCTCGCTAAACACTGGCTCATCAAAAATACTGGGCCTGCAGCCAGAGTCCCACGGATGGTGAGATTCGCCCACACCGGTGTGCCGTGACCTCTCCGGTCGGGCTTGAATCAAGCGTCAGCGAGCGCCACCTCTCGCGCCGCTCCTTGCGTTCCTTCATCCCGCCCGGCCCCATCCGCATCTCCTCCGTATCCACGTCCTCTTCCCTCATCGCCTGACGCACGTTCTGCTAGTAGGGCTAGCAATGAAAACTCACCCCGCCGTTCGGATTGCCTCCCTCGTCCTCCTAGTATTATTCCTCCTCTGCTTCCTCGAATAAAGCCAGGAAGGACTACGAGCCCCCCTGCCGGAGGAAGGTCGGGCGGCGCAAAGAGCAGCGCCTGCTGTGAGACGCCCGGGTTCTGGACCATGCGCGCCCACGCCCTGAGGAGAAGGTTCGTGACCTCGGGC